ACATCTTTTTTTACAAATTAACCAATTATATGATCGTCCTGGATAAACTGACATTATTCGAAGAAACGTGGCGTTTTTATTGTTCTAAGAAAGTCTGGTTCATCCAATTATGTATGTTGGTCGCTTCTGAGCGAACCGCCTAATAAAAGCTAATGCGAGTCTCTTTGATCCGACAATGCATGTCTTCAGTGGCGTTTCTTACCTCAAATATTCCGGCTATAAAAGTCATGCATAAGCATTTTTTAATGAATTTCGCCAGGGAACATTTAATTATCAATCATACTTCCGATATTTTGAGTTTTATATTTTACTTTATTCTGTTTTCTATCCTTCTCTTGCATTATTTATTTATTTTTTCAATATTTTATTGATTATGCTTTCAAGCTATCATTTTTCCAGATTGTAAACCTTTCGAAATTTTAATTCACTGAAAGATACTTGCGGATTTTTAATTTATTATTTACACTTAGATGAGAACCTAGCTATCATAGCTTAAGGTGTTTCAGGGCCCGTAAATTGTGTTTTCCTACAATTAGATAAGAAGGCCTTAGGATGTCATTTAATTCCATTCCAAAAATTCGCTCTTATCAGTTGCACTTTCTACCTCGCCTAGGTCTCATCAGCACCTCCAACGAGAATTGATACTTGGTTCTGAGTATCTTTGCGACGGGTACTAGTGGGTCATGGCGGATGTGGCATTTAAATCAAGCCAGACCTCTACTAAATCACTTTTGTATTGGAATCGTCAATTAAGAAATCACGAATTTTTAGCTCTATTTTGCACACTATTTCTTGCTCTTTAAATTAAGTAGGATTAATTAAATCCTTTCTGTCCCAAAACTTATGTCACGTTCCTTATTTTCGTTTGCATCAGTTTGGACTCTGATCTGTTAGGTGCTGCTTTCTCCTGCCCCGGAGAACACGATTCGTCTGAAAAGATCTCACCGAGTGACTTTGGGCCAGCTTTTCCAACTGCATACACCCCGTTGAATTCATCACGAGGGAGTGCTTTTCGACCTCTTCAGGCTAGCCAGTCCACAAGCCTTGCTACTGGCTCATCTATCACTTCTAACGCCGCAGTGATAACAGGTGGTGGTGGAATCGTTAGTCGTTCAAAATCCGGAGGCGATCAATCTTGCTTGGCTGTTTCATCAGTCACATTGGGTTCTCCGTCTCCTTCGCCTCTTTCCTCCACTACTGCCTCCTCTTCCCTCTCACCCGCCAGTCCTCTCCCGCTGCCGGTCTTTATATCACCTCTGGCCCCACCGCCGTTACAAGCTGTAGCTTGCTCCTCTTCTAGTGTAGCCTCTCAGCTACATTTTCAGTCTAGCCAGTCTATAAAGCATCCTCACGTGCTTCTTCCTCCTGACTCATTGAAACTTGGGTGCGTCTGTTCATAGAATTATTATTCATTTCCATACCTTACTGATATTTATAAATTCGGCCAAATTGACACTTCATCCTATCAAAAATGCTCCCCCGAACCATTTTTAATGGCTTTAATCTCTAGTCATTAAATCAATTCATTAATTCTCTTAAGTTTCTTGATTCTTTTATTGGATTCCTTTTACTTATAAAATCGCCATTCTTTGTATGTCATATGCAGATTAATTTCCATTTTCCGCATATTTAGGTTCTATCAATTCTGTTTATTTCTGAGTCACTTGAATTTGTATGATTAATTAGATAGCCTGGCTGCAATTAAATAATTAGATGTAAACACAGCGGATCATATCACAGTAATGTTATACATTTATTCCTGTGATTTTCTCAAGGTCTCTTGCAACATGAGCTTGTGTTATTTTGAAGTTTTCTTTTAGTCGTCAACCTTTAGCATGGAGTTGGCATTGCCTAAAGCGAGATCTTACGTCCTAGGCGTTCATCCTTGTTTATCAAATATATGGGCTTCTTGCTTCACTTCCTTATTAACACTTGTATTTTTATTAATGATTTTAAGTTGAGAACTCACTAGGTATGGAGTTCTTACTAAAAGGGATGTCTATTACTCTGGGTTTTATTTCAGCTTTTTTATAATTAATCATGTCCTATGTGATTTTACGGGTAATTTGTTCCACATTCTAGTGAGCTTGATTTAATTTCCCTTTGCACATGCCAATAAATTTTTAACTTTCCATCTTATAATTATGACGATCCACTTTATCCTCTCATATGCCTTATGAAAGATGTTTTAACTCCTTAATGTCTATCGTCTTTGCTAGATCCTCCATGGCCTCTTCTGATGGTCTACATCCGACTGACCGTGGAATTTTCGAATCCACAGATTACAGAGGCATGAAATTGTCTAGCGACTCCCTCCGGGAAAGTGGCCTTGACGGCAGCGCCGACAATGGCAAAGACGATCTTGCACAGCTACTCCATGGGTTTGGATCTCGGCCGGAGCAAGTTACTACATTCCATCTAGTTTGCGGCCTTGTTGGGCCTCGGCTGCCTCGAGGCTGGAGAGACCTGAATGCATCCACACCTGCAGCTCGTTCTCAAATGACTCGGCTCGTCGGTTCGACTGTTGATGATTCCGTTAGTTATCCATAATTAAATTCCGATAACTAGCAGTTTCCATCCGTTACCTCTAGCATTTTGCATTCTTTTTGATTTTTCTGACTACGGCTTCTGCGATAGCCTTAGGACAATTCTCTTCTTTTTTTAAATATTTTGCATGATGCTCCCAGAACCCAAGATTTTGTGGTCTCTGTTTTAGTCACAGTCTCCTTTCGCTGAATAGAGATTGTCTAACCTCGTTTTCGTAACTTGGTCGTATCTTTGAGCGGGCCTAGTTGGACACATCTTGAAAGTCCTACTACAGCAGTTATGATCATTCTCCGCATTGGATCGCGAGCTCGGTAAAATCCCAGATATTTTGTTGGCATTTTCAGTGCGTCTTGCTATTCTTAGCATCAAGTTACAACTCGTCAAAGATACAAGTAAAATCAACTCCTTGAGCGACTTTCTGGCCAATGGTTCTGCTACCACACCTGTCCTGGTACATCTACGCACTCATATCTCATTCTTTCCATATCACTACTCTGGACTTATTTATATTCGACTCCCCTAGAGGTGTGACCTTTTTGACGAGTTTGGTGAGGCGTTATCACACTTACCTGTTTGCCTTGCCCTCCCTCTCAATTTGCCGCAATTGCTGATCCCACATGGGCTTCATATCTGAATCTCCCGC